TAGGTAGCTGTAGTCTCCAGCGCTGGACGCCATAGCTAGTTAGTACTAGAGAGAGAGAGAGAGAGCTTGGGCGGAGGCCAAAGGCACCTACCTGCAGCGCCGTTGCTCCAACTTCGACTTCGAGGTACTTGCAGCACATCGCCAACATCACAGGTTAGTACTTGGTTCGCAACAGAGAGAGAGAGAGAGTTCTTCTTCTTCTCCTTCTCAATCCCCCATCTCTTCTCTCCCTCTGACTTCTGACTTCACTGCATCTGCARACTATGAGAGAAGAGATACAGAGCTTGGTGACATTTGATCCAGACTCGACTTTCGGGGATTCAGACATGGCAACGAGGGACTATTTGGGATTGGTGACCAAGACTTGGTGTTAACGACATTCCCATCTTCTTCCCTCGTTTCGTCTGTCCCTTATCTCTTCGTCTGTGTAGGTCTGGACCTRRCGCTTTCTTCCTGTGTGCAGTGCCAGGCTCCTTCACACTTCGTGATGGATACAATGCATGTTAGTCTGAGTTCAAACATTGATTGGGCTAGTTCGAGGTACTCTAGCATTCTGCTTCGTTACTCTGAACTACGTGAATGAGGTCAGTCCTGTCAGGTCAGTCTTTGTATGAAAGCCTTCCTTGCGCTCTTCAGCATCTTTATGTATGAATGAGAATGTACATTGCTTGTCGAGATTCTACTCGTACTACATTGTCTATTCAGTCCTTTTCATCACATTGCAGATTCTTGGTTTATTACGTACATTGCATATCTGTGCATGTAACAGTTGGTATCGGAGCTTTTGCACGTGAATCAGGACTATCTGATCTGACACGTCTGCGGGGATCAAAAAGCTAGTTAGTCTTTTCTGTTGATCAGGACATACTAGTTAGACCCCAAAATCACGATCTTGACCTTACTAAAAAAAAAAAAAAAATCGAATTTTTTTATTTTCTCGCTATTCTGCTGTGGAAAATCGCTATATCGCAACATCTAAAATTCCTATTTTCGTTTTTCTTTTTGAAAAGTCGAAATTTCGCTGTTAAAAATCCGGAATATATTTCTTTTTGGAAAATTCGATTTTCTGTTGCATTTCCCGTACTTGAAACTTCGGAATATCTTGTTTTCTGAAATTCGTTTTTTTGAAAACGGTACGGGAAATACCTCCTGCACATATTATTTTTTCAAACTGCGAATATTCCTATCGGAATAAATCCGAATATTTGTCATTTCGGTTCGGACTTTTTTCGCAGTTGTTGGATTTTGTCAGTTGGTTCTATCAATCGGATGCAGTCTAAAGTCGAATTTTTTTTTGGCTTTCAGAGATCATTTCGTACTTGGAGGGAGATTGGGAGACCTACCGAATTTTTTTTGCAAAATTCAAACTTTTCTGGTTTGATTAGTGGCTCCTTATCTAAGTGTGAGTTGGGCGATTATCCCACCCACCCCTCCCCACCTACGTTGTTGCCATCTCTCGCCTTGTCGTTGCTGCTTGTCTCCGGGTACCCTTGTGACGACATTGGTAAGTTGCCACGTCAACAGGCCACGTCAGCAGGACACGTCAGCATTACCACGTCAGCAGCAAGGGATACCACATCAACAGGTACCGGTCTGGCCTATGTTGTTGCGTTCACAGACAGCAGTCATAGACCAGAAGGCCAGGGAAACAGACGAGGCCTATCAGGCCTGCATGTTAGCCTGGAGTACCGAGACAAAGAAGCGAGCAGATGACGCTGCCGCAACAGCCAAAAAAAGGGCAGAGGATGCCGAGCAGGCACGTCTGCTGGCCGTGCAACAACAGCGCCAGCACGACGAGGCAGCAGCAAGGGTTGCTGATGAAGAAAGAACACAGCGTCGTGAGAAGATATTCACCGGAGAGTGGGCGTTACTTACCATGGCAGCAGAATGGCGAAGCGAGGCCGGGAACAGCCAGTTGGAGGACAACACAAACAAGATAGCGCTCCTCCTCTCACATCTCACGGATCTCCTTGCAACCTGCATTACACAGCAGGTAGAGATCCTTGGTCTCGACAACTCGGTAGCCAACCTCCAAGACCGCCTTCAGCGGGTGGAGCATCGGCCAGTCGCCGCCGCCAACGCAGGCTCTTCCAACACTGCCGACCGCCTCACCGCATTGGAGATGCACGTCGGCTCCCTCCAGGATGGCGCACAGTTACAGCAGACCGAGACGCAACAATTGCAGCAGCGGATCTGCACTACCGCCTCCACCTCGAGTCCGGAGCCGTGCGAGACAACTCCTAAGTTCGATGGGCAGGAGATCTTCCACGACTCAATCAAGACAGATCCAATTCCATGGTTTCGCAAGTTCGAGCTCACGCTCCAGCTCCACAACGTCAAGGAAAACAAGCACCACGCTTACTTGTACTCTCACTCAGGGGGCGCGTGTCAGGCGTGGTTGGACAACTTGTTGTCCAAGTACGGAGTGGTAGCGGCGGACTTGCACACCATGATCAGCTGGGATGATCTGAAGGCGGCGTGGCACAAGCGGTTCCAGGTGGAGCCGCCAGAGATCAAAGCCATGGACAAGCTCATGGTCTTCGAACAAGGCACGCTGCCGAGTACGGACTGGATCGCCGAGTACCAACGCTTGACGTCAGTCCCAGACATCCAGATGGGCTTCAAGGTCATCCGCCACTACTTCATCTCAAGGTCATGTCCGACATTGAGCAATGCCTTGACGCATGTCGAGGACACCTTGACGACAACGGCGGAACTATTCGACAAGGCTGCGCATATCATCGTTACGAACAAGGAGGCCAAGAACCTCCGTTCTTCTGCGTCAGGCCCGAGCGGGAACCAGCATTGGCCACGAGTGGCCGTGGTCGCAGCGGCAGCGCCGTTAGACCAAACCAGCGAGGCTGTGTCTGCCAGTGAAGGAGACAGATTCGCAGCCGCCCGGGAAGGTGGCCGCGCCGGCAGAGGCCGAGGGCGCGGCAAGCCGACGACACACACCGTTTCTAGCCCCGGGCCTGGTACAGCAGCTCAGACAGGCCCATGGAACCTGTATGGCCTCTCCGAGTCCGCATACAAGGCGCGCGAGAGATTCCATTATTGCTTGTGGTGCAACAACGATCTTCATCTGACGCCGGTTTGCCCGCTGAAGGGCAAGGGTCGATAGGGAAACTGAGCACCGCCGAGAGTGATGCGACGACACTCTCGACGCCTTCGGAACTGGTTTCTTCGCGAGTGACCAGCCTTCATTCCGAGGCGCACGCGGAAGTCGACAGTCCTCCGCTTCTATTTTCTTTTGAGGACTATGCTGCCCGGCTCGTTCCAACGCTGGGTACTCAAGATCAAGGACAAGGAGTGTGTGCAGTTTCTTCTCTGTCCGGCAACAACGACATATCGTCTTCAAGTGGTTAGTCACGGGATTCGGCGCGCGAGTTCAAGATAGAGGTTTTGGACCCGCTCACGTCTCAGGACTTTGCATGGCTTCCTCTCCCGACCACAGACTGTYTGYCGGGACCGCAATGCGCAACACTTAGCGCTCATCTCCACACTTACCTTTCCTTCTATGCACCACCAACTTCGCCGACGGATGACGAAGTCGCGGTGGGGGACATCCTGGCGTACGTTACCAAGGTGGCCCGCGAGTTTTGCACGCAGCGGTACGATAACAACAATGCACCGCTCATGTATGTCCGCATCCAGGTTGGGCAARCGTCCTGCAGYGCTTTGCTGGATAGCRGCGCGACTCGCAACTTCATGAGCCAGTCTTTTATGCAAAGAGCTGGCCTTGGCGCACAAGTTCGGAGAAAGGCAAACCCGACGACGATCAAGTTGGCGGATGGAAAGACGCAGCAACTACTCGA